GGATGGGGATAGGGGTATACAGGAAAATAATTTCTTAGTCTGGCTGATTAGATAACTTGAGTGAGATGTGGATTGTGTGTGTTGTTATTTACTAACCTACAGGTCTCCAGTAGTATCTGAAAGCACTTGATAGTTTAATAAATGTCATTAGTTTATTAAAGAGCTAAAAATCTTATTTTCTTTGTTACAAACCTTACATATTGGATACTTGTGGCTTCCTCAGGGGCAATTCACACAACCTAGACATGTGGCCAATGTTCCCTCTAAGCTGAGTTAGTGTGAGCTAGCTCACAGTTTTTTAGCCTCCGGCTCGCACATTTTTGTCTCAGCTCAGGAAGGATGGCTCCAGAACACACTAATTTATGCAGTAGCCAAATCACCTGCTCACAACTTTAATGCCGGTAGCTCACAAAGTAGAACTTTTGCTCACAAGACTCCACAGCTTAGAGGGAGCATTGCATGTGGCTACCACAGTAACTCTGGAACAAATGTGTGCTAGGAGTACCCAGGTGCATGCAAGGAGAAGGAGCTTAAACCTCTCCCCATGTCATTTTCCTTACCTGAAACAGTCCTGGGGAGCTGCTGTTGGCCCTGTTGCAGAAATCTGAAGATAGCCTTCAGTTTTCACAACAGGCAAAGAAGGGCCTTTTTCCTTGGATGCTATGAGAAACTCCCAGAACATCTCCTCAAAAGTCCATGGGGGGATGGGGTAGACACATGGACTTCTAAATGTGTGGATCACCCCTAGTTTTTCACATACGTGTGGTTTCTCTAATGTTTAATATGTTTTTGAATTTGATCTAAATGAGAGCATATATCACTTTACGTATAATTATCACTTGTATTCCACTGAATACAAGTTGAAGGGGTAGATTGCTGAATGAGAAATTCTGATGAGAATTGTTACAGTAACTTATCTGTAGCAATGTGATACAACAGCAGATGGAAGGATGCATGCAATAAAATCTTCCATTAAATATTGATACAAGTAGCCAGATATTTATATGGATAAGTTGTATGAGCTTCTCTTTTGCTTCTCCTTATGTATTGTGCGGAATATCAAAGGATCGTAAGGATTATAATACATATTTTTGTATTGCCTTCATATGTGTATGCTAAAATTAACTTAGAACTCTGGGGTGAAATATTCTCCTTTCCCTTGGGGGGGGGGGCTGTAGCCATAAAAAAAAAGAGGCACAGCAGTTTCCTCCAAGACTTCGGACATTCCTCCAATGAGTGCTGAATTTTCCTAAAAATGGGCGTATGACCAAGGAGCATAAAGACCCCCTTGAATGGAGTGGGATGAATAAAGTCATAATTTTTATCCTTGGTGACTCAAAGTGGAGGATTACCTGTATTTGGTTTAAGCTTCAAGTGATTGATCTTAGTACCTCCATTGATGGAGGTCTTCTATTGTCCTTAGAAGCAGAGAGTATAGAAATGGGGAAGACACAGAACCATGAGTAGGTACTGCCATTCCACTGAGCAGTGGGCATTGTTGCAAGTCAAAACAAGAAGCCTCTGTATCTTGTAGTGAGTGGAATACGTAGAGGTTCTGGTATTGCCCTGTAGGAGATAACTTGAGAATTATCCCTTACAAAATCACACTGCATTTTCCCCTGTGAAACAAAATAAAGAATTCCAGATCCAGTTTAAGTGCTTTTAACTCTGCAATAATTGTTGAAAATATATTCAGTATAACTTCAATATATGTTTCAGTTTTTGTGCGGTCCTTGATGGAAGTGAAAATGACATGAGATTTGTATACTGCGCTTCTTGTATATGCTACATGCTCAACAACTGGTCAGGAATGGATATGAAGAAAGCCATAGACTATATTAGGCGAAGCATGGTGAGTTTTGTCAAGCAATACAAGAATGTTCTGAGGAGCTCTGCCTTACTCTTGTTGAAAGCACAATGAAATAAGATTGTTTTACTTGCTCTTAATTTGTCTGTAGACTGCCATAAGTAAGGGAACTGAAAGTAGCATCCATAGAAGGACATGCCAGAAGCCTGGGGCGGAACTGAAAAGGTTTTACTTCCTGCAGAAGATAATAGTCACAAAAATGGTTGAATTTGGATTCAGGGATGTGTTGGGAAAAGCCAAATCGATTAGAGAAAAGGAGGGGCAATGGGAGTGTGCTTAGTTATGTAATTTGCTTACACTTATAGCCATTTGTTTTAATTGAATAAAATAAAAAATAGGTATTTGGAGAGCATTTGGATTGCTGCCAATTTGCAGGGGAGAAGTAATGGGCAGGGGTGTATGCTTAATCGTTTCCCAATGCACTCTTTTTTTAACTGTAATCTCTCTCCTTGTCATAAATCACTTTTCTTCCAGGTAAAGATTCAAAATACAATTTCTAAGCCAGTAAGGAAAAAGGTCAGAAGAGAAGCATCAAGCAGGGAAGGGCTAAACCAGTTTGGTGTAGTGATTAAGTGCACGGACTCTAATCTGGGAGATCCGGGTTTGATTCCCCACTCCTCCACTTGCACCTGGCTGGATGACCTTGGGCAAGCCATAGCTCTGATAACAAGCTGTTCTTGAAAAAGAGCAGTTTCTGTCAGAGCTCTCTCAGCCCCACCCACCTCACAGGGTGTCTGTTGTGGGGAGGGGAATGGAAAGGAGTTTGTAAGCCGCTCTGAGACACCTTTGGGTAGTGAAGGGCGGGGTATAAATCCAATCTCCTCTCTTCTTCTTCTAAACAACTCTCCAAGACATCTTTTGCCTGCAGATTACCCATTTCCCTGTTTTCACATGTCAGTGTCACAGGGCTGGAGATCTTGTGTGCCACTGAACATCTCATTCCATCCTGACTTGTCATGTACACTAATGTTCCATCTGTTTCCCAGTACAATAGATTGTATATTTGGATGCCCTTGTTAGACTTTTCATTCTCATCCTCTTTGAAAACTGGGCTGTGTTACAACAATATCTTTTGCATGCAGTGGTAATTTGTACACTGACATCTGGTGAGAAGCAGGGATGTATTTGTAACAGTGATATTTGAGATCTCTCCGTTCCTAATGCTAGATTACTTTAGTGGAGTTTTTGTTCAAAACAAACTTTTTTAGGTCTCCCTGTTTATCACTGAGGAAGTACATTAGCACTTGAACTCACTTGTTGTGGTAATATTTCTATTATATTAGGATTCTTTATAGCAACTGCCTTGAAACCTTGCAATTGGAGCCTTTCTCAATATAATACTGATAATGGAAAATTAAAAATATTTCTGTTGAATATCTGAGGAGTTTGTATCTTGTTATAATGTTACATAAATATAGCATTGATGCAAATGATTGTGTTGGTAGTTCTGCGATTCTAGACTGTTCTGATATGTCCCTTTATTACAGGCAAAATGCACATCATTGTTAGAAGGCTGCCACTAAACAAAAGATGTGGTTTTGTTTCTCCATATCTTGCGTCACTGTTTTGCAAGAAAATGAGGCTTGTCAGAACTTTCCTTGGCAGTGAAATTGGCATGCTGGGGAGGTTCATGTAATTTGGTTATGCAACAGCAATTCTGCCAAGTCGATATATTAAAAATGTTGTAGCACACAGAGTCAACTACTGCAGAGTTAAGATTCTCTAGACTTCATGCCATCCCCAAAAGAAGCTGTTCGGATCTCCTTTAAAAACATCCTGAAAAGCTTTTCTTAATCACCTCACAGCTCATCCAACAAGCTGCCAGGGGGCTTCGGCTCCCGCAACGCCATCTGAAGCCGCATCGAGTCCATTTGGCCTATATAGTTATCAATTATCAATCTTAAGCAACCTTATTCAATTAAACATTCGTACATATTCCCTAGACTGGATTTTTTTCCCTTATACAATTCATACTCTTTTGGGGTTAAATTATTTGAAAAACTAGTTTTCTTCTTTCTGTAAGTATTTTAAATGCGGACTAAATTATGAATATATAAACGCATATCCTTTAGCCTAATTTAATCAGTTAATGTGAGCTAGTATTCACTAATCCAGTCTTATCCAAGATTCCGTGAACTGAACTCAGATTAATTTTTATAAAAAGATTATATAAACCTTTAAAATTAATCTTCCCTTAGATTTTTAAATATAGACTATAATTTTTCTAGCTCATTTTAACCAGTCTCTAGATCAATTTTATAACAGAATCCCTAAACTAATTTTATTATTATATCTTAGTTTTTCTTCTTCTTTTTGTAATTTCTTCTTTTTAGTAGAGCCTTGGATCTATGCCTCTTCTCCTTGTATGTAGAAAGGCTTTCTTTCATGATTTGCCATCTATATTCAATGTTTATGTTTGTTTCATCTTCTCTCTGGTATATTTTCTTCCTTGTACTTGTACTTTTAAGGGTTCCAGAATTTGACAGACCTTTAAGGGTTCCAGAATTTGACAGACCTTTAGTAGACCTATTATTCTCACTGCTGAAATCAGCTTGATTCCCACTGAAGATTAGTTCCTCTTGAGTGTAGTATTGCCCTGCGTCTTGCACAGTTGGATGCTGTAATTCCTTTTCACTGTAATTTAGGTCAGCTTAGTTGCAAAGTATTTCAGCTTCTTGCTCAGTTTGGTGTTGAGGTTCCTTGCCAGTGATTTGGTTTAAAGCTGAAGGCTTTTGGTCTAATATCAGTTCAAAAGCCTTGTTAATTGCCTGGATCACTGATTCAATAATCACAGCCTGGATCTCCTCCCAAGATATTGGAAGCTTCTCAGATTCTACTGAGCTCTCCATGTCTGAATCATCTGGCATGTTTTCCTGAGGGTGCTGATCGCTCATTTCAATACAATAACAAGAGTCTCAGTCTCCGTTCAGTCTAGCAAAGTCCAGCGTCTCTACAAGTTGCTTATCAGCTGTCTCTTTCAAGCTGCCTGCCTCTGCCAGATATTACTCCCCTCAGCAGTCAACGGTCTCACACACAAGCCAAATGTTTCGCAGCTTTATGGTAAAGACTAAACAGAGTGCGCTTCTATTCTGTTCTCAGCAGTAAAGCATGACGTCGCAAAGAATTGTCACATAATTGTGAATTTCACTCTGTATATCTTTCTTTTTGAGAAGAAAATTTATAGTTCTCTTGTAGAAGCTCAAACAAAAGTCCCTCTTTGCCCTAGAAAATGTTTATCTCAAGATTCTTTTTGTGACTCTTATCTCGTCTCTGCCACTTCACTCAGAAAAGGAGGGGGGAATTCCACCTCTTTCTGTATCGTTTTGAAGATTTAAAGGGGCTTATTCGGAGAAATCATCAAATTCTTCAATGTGCTATTACAGGTACTTATGGGGTGTTTCGTCATTGGATGTTATGGATGAGGCTCAAACACTCTTAGGAGTGTTCACAGCTAGTGCAGGTTATGGCTGCCAAACCTGCTCTTCTTTGTTCCGTGCTTCTGGGACGATCCAGGGCTGCCACCCACTTGTTGCGGCAAGTGGGCCCCCCGAATCAAGTCCCTTGCACCAGACCTCCCTCCAGGAGGTCCAGTGGGGGTCGGGATCCCATGAACCCCCCCCCCCCAAAAAAGAACGAAGAATCGGTAGCCGGGAGTGATTCCCACTGAATTGCTACACCACAGCTCCGCCTCTCTGTCACCTCACAATCTAATGGGCATGGCAATTTGAAAGCCTTCGTGAAGTCTTAAATTCTGAACCAGCTGTGCTACAGCATGAATCTGGTGCCTCTTGCCTATTTCTCTGTGAATGTGCTAGATATCCCTCTTGATACCCCAAAAATGCTGCTGGTTCCTTTTCATAAATCTTTTCTTGAAGTTAGATGTTCCCAATTCAGTAAATATGTCCATCTTTTCAGAACTTTTCTCAGCAGTGCAAATTGGCATTTGGTTAGGCAACAACACCTGATGTTTCTTCATTGTCTGCTGAATCCATAGAATGTTGTTCTACTTAAGATCTGTTTCCTGAAGTTGGACACATGACTGCCTAACCAGTATGAAGTAAGAAAGAACATATGTTACTTAGGAGTTCTCAGCCTATTTGCTATGATAAGTGCCACCATTTTTAAGTGCTTGCTGCATCCCTGGTTTATCTGCAATCATTTAACAAACTGTTCAGATCTTATCTACACCTGCTACAAAATATAGAAAGTAATACTATCCTGTTGATTTATGGAACTATTGGCTTTGAGTGATATATATTTTCTTCCAAAGATCTGCTTCCCCTTTGAGAACTACTACTTACTGGCCATATTCTTAAGTATTCTTTTTAGTTTTTTTTAATATTGTTTTTATGTGACTCATGAGTTAGAACTCTTGAGACATTCCCATGTAACTTCACTGACCATGGTTCCTCCTCGTTGGGAATCTTACGTAAAATATGTGTGAACAGCTCCAAAAGCTCCAAAACCAATCAAATAGTTAGGACCAAGGCTCCCTATAAGCTGTGGAGTCTTGTGAGCAAGAATTCTACTTTGTGAGCTCCTGGCATTAAAGTTGTGAGCAAGCGATTTGGCTGCTGCATAAGTTAGTTTGCCCTGGAGCCCTCCTTTCTGAGCTGAGACAAAAATGTGTGAGCTGGAGGCTAAAAAACTGTGAGCTGGCTCACACTGACTCAGCTTAGAGGGAACACTGGTTAGGACTGTAGTATAGGTTGGCCTGTTCTATAGATGCAGTGTGTGAATGAACACTAATAGCAGTGAGATCCACATTCAGTGCTGTAAATATCGATAGGAAAGGTCAATGGTCTAACCCAAAAAATTTGAGCTGTTTTTGCCCCTTCAACTGTCTTGGAATAAGCTGCTTCTTTTCCCTCTACTGCTGCCTAACTGATTCCAGGCTTATATATTGTGGGTTAGCTTCTCAGCATTTTTTTCAAGGAAGCACTTTGAGCTGTCTGCTCCTGAGTATCAGCTGTGCTGCCTGTTCATTGCTAATACAGGAAACCCCCTGGAAGTTTGAAAAACCTTTTGAAAGGATGGGTGCTTGAGAGGATGGGTGCTCAATCCTGCCCCAGGTTGAGAACCACCTGTGTGGCACTTTTCCACCACCACCACCATTTTGCAGTAGTCAGGCATATGATTACAGTAACTTCTGGATGGTCAGAGGCTTGCACTTCCACATTCTAGAAGCACTTTGTTCTTGGTTATTTGATGGGAAAGGGTTACAATGGACAGTTACCATATGCAGATGAACATTAACACTTTCTTAAACCTTTAGGTAGGTTGGTTTTGCAGTTCTTGTTAGGTTTACCCTACAGATTAACTCTGTCGTTCTTGGTGTGGTTTTGATTTTAATTCTGTACTATATATTTGATCTTCTGCAAGTCTTTCGTCTGTATGCTTCAGGGCAGGGCAGCAGAGTGATCCTTAAGGAAGGGCAGGCATGATTTGCTGATCCTCTTTATTCTTTCCCAACCCTGCCCTCAAGCAGCAGTCACAGTTGTTTGTAAATCAGCAGCTTTTGTGCAGCTTTTTCATAATGGCAGTTATCTAGGCCACTGTAACTGATTTTGAAGACTATGCACTTACCACACATCTCACTCATAATGTCACTTTTTTAAATAATACAGTGGACACAGTGGGATGGGAGAGGAGGGCAATGGTATCTGAAACTAGGTTTTTTCATTGCAAGTCCTACAGTAGAGGTCAGTAGAGGTAGAGGTCAGAACCTTAAATTGGCACTGGTGTGAGCTAACTACAGTAGGTATAGCTATAGTATCCACAAATTCCATTTGGCACAGATACATAGTACTCTACCATGCATGAGCTTGTGGATAGTTGAGAATTGATGGATTACAGTGTATCTCTAGCTCAAAACCCAAATAGACTCTTAGGGTATATAATACTGCAGTTTCACTTCAGATCACATTAAGTGGTGGTGCTCTTTGGAATCAGAAAACCAATGGAGTTTTGTTGAAAGTATGAAGTGGTTTTAGAATTATCTGCTGTGCAGGGAAGTCAAGTAGAATGGCAAATTAAAAAGAAATGAAATGGATAGGAAGCTTACTCAAACAGAGCTGGTGTTAAAAGTTCATGTGAATGATTGCTTTTCCTTTTTTTCCTCCCCCCCCCCCCTAGTCCTATGATAATGGGCTTGCCCAAGGAGCTGGACTTGAATCACATGGTAAGAACATGAGTGTGAACGAGCAGCACTTCGGTATATTATTTTTGCATCCTGGTTGCAAAAAGAATGTGTATTTTGAGAAGCTTTAATGTTGAAATGCCAACTAAATTTTTGAATCTGCAGTATGACACTCACTCCCATCACACCACACTAACTCTTTATATCTACATTGGATGTAAAACTGTATCAAAACTGCAGTCCTAGAAGTGGTAGTGTGCAAGTTGAGAAGAAAGGTTGAAATACCTTTGTTTTCTTTGGCTGAAGCGTGGTTCCAAGATGGAGCAGTATGAACAGGAAAACAGTGGTTGTCCTTGCAGCTTAATTGTTGTAATGAAATCTGGTGTGCTTTTGTTAACTATTTTATGTGATTGTTGACATTTAGACACATAGGCTTAGAGATGTCAGCCAGTTTGGTGTAGTGGTTAAGAGAACCAGGTTTGATTCCTCACTCTTCCACATGCAGCCAGCTGGGTGGCCTTGGGTCAGTCACAGTTCTCTCAGAGCTGTTCTCTGAAGAGCTGTTCCCTCAGAGCTCTCTCAGCCCCACCTACCTCACAGGGTGTCTGTTGTGGGGGGAGGACGGGAAGGAGATTGTAGGCCGCTCTGAGACTCCAAGTGAAGGGCGGGGTATAAATCCAACTTCTTCTAACTAGCTAAAAAGCAGTCACATATGCTTGAACATTAATCTCTGTTGCTCAGCCATCTGTTTTTTGTTTCACGTTGGCCTCTCTGCCCAACTGAATGACGTTATAGTGCTACACTGCATATTTCAGATTGCCCTGTATTTCTTGGGAATCATTTGGTATATATGGTAGAGTTTTATGTACTGTTCAGATTGACTTTCTGTAGTAACTCTGTGTAAACTAAAACACTTGCATCTTACAGGTGGCTCCACTTTTTGTGGTATTGCATCATTATGCCTGATGGGTAAACTGGAAGAAGTCTTTTCAGAGAGAGAACTTGACAGGATAAGAAGATGGTGCATCATGAGGCAGCAGAATGGCTATCATGGCCGGCCAAATAAGCCTGTAGACACCTGCTATTCGTTTTGGGTAGGAGCAACTCTTAAGGTAATATAAAAGTAGAAATAAACACTAAAATCCATAGTATAAATGTCAGCTTATTTGCCATTTGCATAGTTCATTGATTGTCATTTCATGTACATCTGATATGCTACTTTAAAATAATATCATTATTTTATAATTCCAGTAATATTTTTCTTAAAATTTTAGACTGCTTTTCCCACATTTGAAGCAGTTTAACAATTTACATAATGAACAACCCAGTGAGAGCAATAAATGTACAATTAAAACAATCTGCACATCTGTAAAAATTAAATAATTACCCATAAGTTGAGGAAAATAAAATCGTGATGTCCCTTTAAAAAGGCAAAAGTGATGTGGCCATTATCTCTTGGGTGTACTAAAAAATGGGCTGCTACAGAGACAGCCTGTGATGTCACTGCCACAGTTCTAAACAGTAGTGTTGAAAGCATCACCAACAGCCTTCATGATTCTTATCTAAGGCAATAGGCATGTGTTTCTCTCTGGGATTATTCTCACGGTACTTTGCTTTTCTCATGAGAGATCAAGGTATAAAATGCATTAAAGCAATGCTTTGCTTTACTGCCAGTGTCAATAAAGCTTAATAATAATTTTATGGTAATGGTGGTGTTTTTAAATCGGCTTCTCTTTCAGCTTCTGAAAATATTCCAGTATACAAACTATGAAAAGAACAGAAATTATATATTATCAACCCAAGATCGCCTTGTTGGTGGATTTGCTAAATGGCCAGATAGTCACCCAGGTAAGTTGCCATGGCAGATGGGGAGGAAATTGAGGGGAAAAGAGTCCAAATACTTAAAAAATGAAAGAGTATAAAGGAAGATAAATTTGAAAAGGTGGGTGTGAGTGCTGGATATGGAGTTCAAGGAAAAAACAAGGGGGGCAGATTTGTGGGTGATAACAGATTTTTCCTGAATAGTGAAACCCATGCAGATTTTTGAAGAGCTCCAAAAGGACCTCTCTAAACTGTGAATTGACAACAAAATGAAAAATAGGTTCAAAATAAGTAAATGCAATGTGACCCCAGTTTCACTCATATAGCTGAGGACTGGCTGAAAGGATCTTGGGGGTTGTGGTGGATCTGTCAAAAGCCAATTAGACACAATAGTAAAATGGAGCTTCTGTGAATAGAATACCAGTTTCTGAGAACAGTGATGGGAGAATTGTTGTCTTTGCCAAGCTGTGTATTTTGTGGAAGTTTCTGGTTGAGAAATGTTAGAAACAAGAAACTGGACCATAGCATGATCCAGCAGGACTACTCATAACTAACATATAATAAAAGCCTTGGTAGTACAGTATACTACAGTATTAATAGCTGCACCCATTGTTCTAAGCCTCTGCTTAATCTTGTGAGCTCTACCAATAAGTCTCCCCCCCCCCCGCCATGGCACAGTGTTTTCCTCCCCACTCCTATCAGTGATTTGTTCACCTAATTATTGTTTGAGCAGTAGCTCTGGTGAACAGTTTCAGATGGGGCCACGAATCCACACGTCTCAAGTGAGCTGTGAGGAAGTGAGTTGTGGTTTTCAGGAATGAAAAGTCCATTGGCTCTTTGCTTTTTCAGAAGATACAAAATACACTTCATAGAGGTTTCTTTGGGGGATGAAGGTCACTCAGGGCCAAACCGCATGCTACAACATACCCATGTCAAAATAAAAAATGTTGTGAGGTCCTAATTCAGATCAGGACTGTGATGCCGAACAATTCCAAAGGTCATATCTGGCACCTTGGGGGCTCTCACCTTCCCCATGTCATTTTCCTGTGCTTGGGGGCTGTACATGCAAGTATTCAGTACTGATGAAGCCCTAATAGGGCAAGTAACCCTGCCAGCACTGTGCCATGGTCCTGAACTGAACTGGGGTGCCATGGCACTTATAAGTAGAGTTTTTGCTGGGAACTTGCAGCTATAATATGACTGCAAACCTTTGTAGCAGACTCTCATATGTTGTAATGTGTAGTTTGGCTCTCAGTGAGGCTATCCTGGCAAATTACCACCTGATTTATAGCTATGTTTTTGGACTATATAAAATATAGAGTACTATGTACTGCTGTAAGTACAAAGGCACTCGTTTTCTTTCGTAATCTTGATAAGAGTATTTGATTTATTTTCCCCAACGTGCACACACAGACATAGAGCTGTGGAAACACTCAATGTTATGAAAGGTTTAAACAATACTTGGAATAATCAAAGCTTTTAATAATTAGGTTAAGATACGAGTCTGCTAAGTCTGAACATTAATTATCTGCTTTGATTTTAACTGGGTAAGAAGTACATTGTCTTCCCTTTCCATTGGAGTACCTGGAATGCCCTTGAACAGCCTTCAAAAATGCAATTAATTAGAGAAAAGGAAGATAACTTTACAGAAATTGAGTGTTAGATGTCCCTTGCTTCGCAGTTTTCAGAGCGCACTACAGTTGCTTTATGAGTCAATTTAGTTTGGAGATTTCTAGTTGCAAGACTTGGTTTTTCTCTGAATGCTGTTAACTCTCTGCTTAGAATTTCCAGTGTTCAGACATCCTCAAAGTGAGAGCTGAGACCCATTTTTGCAGATCATGGATTGCACATTTGATATTCATGTGCATTGTGGTTTATATCTGTAGGTTAAATGAACCTCCTGTACATGAAGCTGAACACATCAAATGTATGGCTGGATGTGCTTCTTAATACCTTTGTGCCAGAACCTAGCTCTGGCATGTAGTTTCACTTGCTAGGGCTGAACCCAGGAGCCTCTAAAGCCTGATATTAATTCCTTTGTGTTGATATCTCCTACTATAGAAGGACATTCTACCAGGTCCAGGTAGCATCTTTTCCAGACTTCTGCTATTCTACAGGAAGGTAGGACAGAATAAGTTAACTTAAATAAGATAGTTTTCAGAGTTAGAACAATAGCAGTAGTTGGTTTCATCTCTGTTTCAGGATATTGCCCCAGTTATATGGCATACAGTCTGGATGAACAGTGTATTTTTCTTCATTGAGTAATTACAGTAGCCCCCTTTCCCAACATTAGGACTTCTGACTCAGAGGGCATACTTTTCCGTAGGTTCGGTCTGTGATACTCCTTGTACATAATGCTGACCACTTGCCATAATTGACTTTCTGAGCTGAATGATAGACATTGAACTGGATCCAAAGCTGCTCTTCTGCCTTTAGAACACACTTCGTTTGCAGAGGAGATGGAGTGATCTTTTCCAGCTCTCCACGCATTCCCTCACTTTGCCTTCCTCCCTATGCTGTTAAGGAGAGTCACTTACCTTCAGAATTTCAGGGGTTTCTGTGGTTTACATTGGGTAGGAGGTAGATGGGGAAATCTAGTTCTACTTGTGGTACTTTGTATCCTACCCATTAATAACTATGAACTCTTTTTTTAATTTGTAGAATTAGTTGGATTCTGCACAGAAAGGTGTTTTGTTTGGTTTGAGTCTGAGTATATTCCATGTTAATTTACTTGGTGCTACTGTATATACTATGGCCTCTGGGCCAAGACCCTTTCTAGACTTTATTATACATTTGTCTGGGTCTTGGCACACTCAAATTAAGAATGTGGATGGGAATGCTGAGAGAATTGTCTTTGGTTTTGGAGGAAAATCTATACCAAAGGAGGCCAATGTGTCCATTCAGCTATTCATGTCTTTGTGGCCAAGGTTATTACATAGTTGCTGTCTGACTTCCGTACATATGCCAACTTTCTGAGAGCTGTACTTGCAGCCTCCCACTTCATTCCTATATAGTTTTGCATTTAGAAGCAGCTTTAATTTCTCTGGAAACAGATGCATGGATACAAAGGATCAATTACTGGCTGAAATTTGTTTTATCTCCTGTGGGTCTTGCACCTGTAATGCTAATAGACACCTTTCAGTCAAAATGGAAAAGGTCCCTTTCAGAGAAATTACAATCCATTGGATATTCTTCTAGTAGTTTGTTAGCCTTGGGTTATTCCAAAGCTAAATCTGAAATTAAGCAAAGTATTTGGGATATGAAACACTGCATAGTACCATAACTTTAGGAACAGGAAATAGGTGTTGCCCTACTTTCTAGGTAATTTATTGATTCCCAACACAGGATTTTCACGCTGGCCCATCTCTATGTTCTTCCATCTGCTTTATTAAAAGGGAGATACCATGGTGTACCACTTCAGGAGTGTTTATGTCCTTGTGCTGCTGAAGAAATTGAGATGGTTGGACATATGCTGCTGCACTGCCCCTTCTCCCTCTGAGGAGGAGGACATCTTGGGTGTTTCCCATCATCCAATCAAGGAGGCAGGAAATCAGTGTCTTCCTCTTCCTGTGGAGAGGGAACACCCAAACCTCAGTTCCTTTCCTCCCTCGATAGGGGGAGCACAGTTGTAGGCTTAGCCTCCTACTTATAGGCTAATTGTGATCATTCTTTCTTCTTCTTATTCTGAAATCTTTCTTTTACACTCTTAAGTCCTATTCTCAACTTTACTTTTTTTCCTTATCCCACAGCTGCCTCCCAGTTCCTCTTCTCACAGTTCTTTCTCCCCCCCCCTCGCCCTTTTCTCTGCTTTGGAGGACAGGCTTCACAGTGGCTGCTGGCCTTTGGAAATAGCTGTCAGAAGCTTGGAGGGACAGCTTCCTTGATGACAGCGGGGACTCCAGCGCCCAGTCTGGGGATGTGAGAGACACCTTAACTGGAGCTGACATGATCTCTTGGCTTGTCCTGGCTGCCAACAACGTCATCCTTTGGGACGATCATCAGAAGCATGGGAGAAAGCACCATCACTCTTCCCCCACAGAAGGGGTTTCGCCCCACCCCTGTCCTTTGTCTGGTGGAAGCTAGCCCCAGATGGCATGACAACTCCCAGGTGATGCCACTGACGTCAGATGTCAACCTCCTGGTGGGAGACACTGGTATCGGATACCCCAGTTGCTGCATTACAGTCCTTCAGCCTCCTCTCAGAAGACAGATGGGACAGCCCATGACAACTGGGGCTGCCGGAAGACAGACATGGCTCTCAAGAGGCATCACAAAGCCACCACAGTAGCAATCAAGGCCTCAGCCACTGAGGCCATAGTCTCCAGGGCAGCCATAGTTTGGGCCAGGAAAACTCGTCCAGCTACTCCCGAGCAACAACATGAGGCTGCTGGAGGGCACCAACAGACTGCTGAAAGCAGCCGAGTTTACCACCGATGCCTGTCTGGACGCTCTTATATTCTGCTCTAGAGCAATGTCGTCCGCAGTGGCCAAGAGGAGTTTCTGGCTGCTGGTGTGGGAAGTGGAGCTACTCTCCAAGCATATTGCGTTCTCCTACCCATTCCATGGTGAGAAATTCTTTGGGGAAGCCCTGGAAAAGATATTAGTAGAAGCAAGGGAGAAGAAGCAAGCAATGTCTAAGACCCTTTGACGCCCCGACAAGAGAGTCTACAGCAGCTAGTTCTTTCGTAACTCCCAACAGCTTCTCCAGGACTAGGCAAGACACCAAAAGGTCAGCTTGGGGACACTCCAGACAGTCACAACCCTAGGTTCTCCAGACAAGCATCCAGGAGACCTGACAAACAGGACCAAGAGGTCAAACTCAATAAGGCATGACTGGAGTGACATCCTAGTTGTGGTGGGGGGACGTCTGCTTCATTTCCAGTCAGCATGGATAAATTTGCAAGCAGTCTCCTGGACATTAGAAATTGTTTCTCATGGCTATGTCATAGAGTTCAGAAAGATCCCACTGGATCGTTTCATCGCTTCTCCCCTGTGCAAGAACCCAGGCAAAAAGGGAAATAACATAC